ACGCTGTTACCTGCCCACCGAAGTGGAACCTTTTTATCTACTTGCATTTGCATGCTTTCGAACTGCAAGGTTGGCAGGAGCTGGGACGGAACAATGGGAACTCACCCCGTTGTGTAGATTCAAACCGGCGACCTTTCAATCTACCAGCCCAGCAGCACAGCGGTTTAAACCACTGCGCCACCTGCAGTCCATTATTTGGTAGAATATCTTAAAGAATATAAATTACATCATCCAAAAAATAGCAATAAAGGTAGACTTTTCTCTTAACTTATGCTGTGCCAGAACAAGCTATGACCTTGCAGAAGTGGACCTTACTGTGAGGATACTCTACTGATATTGCAAGAATAAACCCTCATGCTTAAAAATTTCAAATCATATTTTTAATTTTATTATGAGTTTCAAAATAAGAATTGTTCTGGATGTTATAGGAAGATAATTTCTCAAGGGAAGATGCATTATGCTTAATTTCTTCAAAATTAAAAATTGCAATGGAATTGCAAATAGAGCAATGATTAATCTTCATCACAAATACTGTTGTTCTGCAAAAACAAAACATTTCAGTTAAGAACTGTTTCCATGAAGTCAAAAGGAAAGCAGTAATCTATTCAACAAGGCTTCCTAAAGAAGCCCTCCAGGAATGTTAGGGTGCAATCCTATGTCTGCTGGGCCATGCTGGGAGACATGGGCCATTTTTCTCCCTAAACATGCACCCTTGAGGACAGAGCTAGACTTAGCCTTTGCAAAGGTTTGGCAACATTTGATCTGGAAATAAGGCTGAATTCAAGACTAATATACATATCCATATATACCATGCAGTATAAAGTTTAAGCCTTCAGGGGCCTACATCATTTCAGAATACATATGGCAGACTCACATTATTGAATGTTCCACCGTGTTAAAACTTTCTACCTGTCAAGACCGAAATTTCAGGGAGATTTTGTGTAGTCTTCTCACTTATACTGCATTTTTCTAAGAATAAGGCTTTTTGTTTACATGGCACCCCATTCAAACTGTTCAACTGTGTCAGGGAGTGCTAGACATATATACCAAAATTGTTCAAAATTGTCCAAAATAAGTTCAAAGGGAAAGATGAACTGAATCCTGGAAATGGTTAAGGACTCAAACCTGCAAAAAGAGGATGCTTGTTTTGTGGCAACTGGGAGGAGTCTCCAAGCAAAGATTAATGCATGTGCTTATGAAGATGCAGTAGAGCAGACAGAAGTACAGCAGAGTGGGAATGGAGAAAATTGGTCCAAAAGCTAGAAATGTCTCTGCTGCAAAGTCTGTCTCTCTGTTTACATGCTCACTGGGAAAAAAAAATCAGTCCAGTATCTGTAGGTTAGAACACACATTCACTTTTCTTGCACACTGTATGGACGACTTAACTTGGAAGAAGGGTACTACATACATATCGGTCTATGCAGAGCTCTGACCAAGGAGCCTATAGCTCGCCAGATGTTCTTGAACCCCAGCTGCCATTAGCTCTTGCCAGCACAATGTGTAGGACAACGTGTAGCACAACTGCCACCGGTTGCTCACCCTTGCACATAGATCCAATTTACTCAGTTCTTCACATACGCACACCATTTTGAAGGAAGAGGATTACATAGATCAGATATATGAGCATAGCACTCACATTGCATATTACCCCAAACATGTGATAATGGGCTGCAATGAATGTTCCCTCTCTTTCTCCAGAAGTAGATCAAATCAACATTCAGATGAGTATTTTAACCAGCCCAGAGAACGGAATAAAGCAGCACATATAGAATTCATATCATCACTTATCAAATCTGAGGGGCAGGGCTTTTTTGAATCCACACAATAACCAATGTTCTTGGGGTGGATATAATCAGTTAAAAACTGAAATGCTATATGACAATTACAAATACATGTTATTATTTTGTTTGTTATTTTAAGTACAAGTACTTAAGTAGTTTGTTAAGTACTTAAAATAACAAACTATATTGCAAACCCTTAAGCAGCACAGCAATCAATGAAACAGTAACAATAATATAGAACTATGTGTCTAAAATGACCGAGCAAAAAGAAAGGTCTTTGCCTGGTTGCAAAAGAGAGCAACACAGATGCCAAGTAAACCACAGCATGTAAGTGGAGTTCAGCCATGAAGAGTGACCTCTCTACTCACCTGCCTGCCTTCTTTTGCTGGGGATATCCAGAGAAGGACTTCCAAAGAGGACATAAGGGCCCAGGCAAGCGCATACTAAAACAGGCATGCCTTTAAATATTCTGTCCAAGTCATTTAGGGCTTCAAAAGTCAACACCAACACTTTGAATTGGACGTGGAAATGGCCAGAAGGCAATGTAGCTGATGCAGCAGGGCACCACATGATCAAAGCATCCCAGTAACCTTGCAGCTTACTTTTTAATGCTGGATTTCCATCAGGTTCAGCTCCAGATATCAGATTTCTAGCTAGCTAGGTCATCTTTGCCGAGAGCAAGCCATGATCTGAGAAAACTAGTACTTTAATTTAGTATGTTTCCACATCCACCTAACCAATGAAGAAGGATGCATCCTTATAAATTATGAGTGATTTTAACTCTGTTTAGGGGCACCGCAGCGTGGCCATAAAATAGTAATAATATGCAATATATGCTCTACAGCAAAAAGTCACTAACTTGGCAAACAGTTAGAAGTAGCCTTCATAGCTTCTGGAATGACTATCTGTATGAACCTGGACAGCTGCTTTCTACTTTATATATTCCTGGCACCAATCTCAAGGCCACTTCACAGCATGATTTATAATACACCACAACACTTGTATTCAGATCACCATCTTCAAACATAAACCACTTGGGTTCAAACATTCAGGAAGTCATAAAATGAGGTATGCAGGAATCTTTGCAAGATTTCAAAAATAGGTCAGATGGAAAAAATGAGGAATACTGACAAAAAGCCTTCTAAAGCCTGATGTTACAGTTTGGTATATAGGGTTGATGGGTAAACATACTGCGGCATCTTCAAACCAATATTAAATTTGTTACAGCATTAAAAGATCATGATGCTTCCAGGTCACTTTAAACTCATAATCTCTTTTCTGCAGAATGAATGCATTTAAAGAAGTACTGTTGCTGATATAACAAATACATAATAACCGATCATAAAATGGCAGAGTGTCAAGGGCAGATATGCTTGGGCAGCTGATGCGAGTTCACCCCCAGCAGGCCCCACTGACAACAGTCCCATGGACTTGCTCCTCCTCTTCACCACCGCAAGCTGATTGCTTACCAGCCAGTACTTTGGCCTAGACAGCCATGATCATGAGGAGGAGCCGAGGCTATGCTCTACTTCACTCTGACTTTCCATCTGTCAAATATAAATTTAAATATAAATGTTCCCAGCAAGTTGAGCCTCAAGTAACCTTTTGGAGCCTCTGGTCCCCATCATTCAGTGACAAAATAATAAATTTGTGATTAAGAAAAAAGCACATGCCTTCATTGTCTTACTCTTCAACCTGAGGTCTCAAATAAACCTTATCATTTTTGAGAAAGTGGGAACCCTGTTCCTAAGCATTACACAGCCAAGACAGATTGCTCAGATAGAACAGCAACAGGTAATCCTGAGTAGGCCAATCTAGTACACCTTCTTAATAAAGCCAACTGCTGAAGAATCTTTACTTTCCCCTATTTGAACGCTTAATGTCCCCATCCTTTTAATCGGGCTGCAGCTTCTGGGCTGCAGGGCCACTGAATACATGTTGAGCACTGACAAGATTGGAGACATTGATCCTTGGTGGATCCACCTGCACAGCAATTCCAAGAAGATGGTGCTTTAGGGGTTATGCTACGTGTGCACAATACTTTATGTTAAATAACATCTACATGGCACCGGTGACTTGCCATGGGACACCATCAGTCTGCTGATGACACCTATCTCTAATAATGTGTTATGCTTTAGGGTACAACCCTATTGCCCCCGGACATTATGAGATCTATAACTTCCATAGGTAAAACATTTGCCAATTGCCAGTCTCTGTGGAAGCACAAGCATCCCTGCAGTTGTTCAGACACTGTCTCAGTGCAGATGCTGTGGGACACACAGTGCTGCCACTACGCTAGATCTCGGCTGCGGAGCTCACCAGCTCATTCAGAGTTACTACTGGCCTCTTGGTTGCCTCTCCTATTAGTATCTTCCCTGCCCAGTCACTGAACTGCAGCAGACGTCCTTTTCTAGAGAGAGCCACAGTTAACCCATATTCTTATCCTTTTGTATTAATGGATTTAATGGTACTTCAGGGGATAAGGTGTGGTATTTTTTATAACAGAACCCTGATTAGTCTTCTGAACAACTTCATCCTGGAGTTGCTTTGAGAGAAGCTTGATTTTCATGATGCTATTGGTTTAGATATGCTCTCTGTGGCCTTCCAGAAAAGGTGTATCTTATTTGACGTCAAGTGGCACTGGAATTGCACTCAGGTATACTCTATTCAACTACTCACAGTGTGTGACTTTGGAGGCAGTGGGTTGTATCAGAACTTATATAGACATGTCACACCAAAAGAGGTAAATATTTATGCAACCAGCAAGTGCAACAAATTTGTTTTTGTTTACTTTTGTGTCACAGTAAAACTATTTTGCACTTTAGACTCTTGAGTATCTTGTATATATCAAGTCATAACAATGCCAATTAAATCCATTTCAGTTCCGGGTTGTAGCAAAGGAGGGTGAATACTCCTGCAAGGCACTCGAACACAATGCATTATACAACACCATCACAGCTCTTCATGGCCCTGCCCCCACCTCATACCATTAGCAGTGATGGTAGAAGAATATATGCAGTGTGATTACAGATTTGACTAGAGTGTGACTAGACTTTATAAGAAATGTGGGTGGTAGGAAGAGTTACAAGGAAACAGAAAATTCACGTCTAGTAATATCTAGACCTTCAGACAAAAGCCAGTGTAGGCCTCCTCTTGTAAAACAATGTTCCACTTGAGTCTGTACAGTCACAATAGCAGGGTCCATCCTGTCATTCTCACCTCCCACATTAGCCTGCAGTCGGTGTTTTCATCCAGCTCCTGGGGCATTCTCTTCTCTCCTGCAAAGGGTCCAAATTTTTCACCCTAAATAACATTAAGGAAACAACATTAGCACCCTTCCCATCAAGCCAACTTTAGTTTGACCCACCCAATGTATAGTTAGGATCCAGCTATACTGTACGGCTCAACAGAGATGCGTAACTATATTGCCCTCTTTTAGTATTCATTTGTTTATGTATTGGAACCAGGAAGGGTTCTGCATCAGGACCAACATGCAGGGAAAATGGGAGTCATCCTTTTTCCCTATACCAGTTCCCAAAGGAAATCAGTCCCACCAAAGCTGCTATATGTTGTAGTACCAAAATGCTGAGCCAATCTGTATTTTTTTTCAGGTTATGCCAAAGAGTAGCCGGCCAGGGCAGGCACTTTTTTAATGCTGAATGGTAAAAATGAACAGTTCAAACACAGATGCCACTTTGATGAAGTGCTGGCTCATACAGGATTCCATATCACAGATGGCACAGGGACTCTCTCAATGAGATCAAGCCTTGGTCCAACAACCTATCAATGTCCAGTTGGTGTGCACATACAGTCCACCATGTCACACTATCTACACAGCAGGTACCAAGTGCATGGGCATGAAGCAGGAACCAGTGAAGCATCTAGGACCATAATGACATTTGTTATACTTTGGGAAGATTGGCTGTGCACTGGCTACCTAAGCAAGAGGAAAGCAGAGAGTTGTACAACCTTTACACTCAACTATAATATCCATGGGGCACATATTTGCATTTGTGTGAGCATGTGCGTGGTGCGTGTGTTTTCTTCTTAGCTTGAAATGGAAGAGTGTCACACAGCTTGGCATGGTTCAAAGTGAACTTTTGCACTGAACTATTCTGCCTGGGAATCTTCTTCCAGATCTTTTCACGTTGCTGTTCTTCATTCTTCCCACCCCATCCTAACTTATTGGAATGCTGGTATACCAAAGCAACCTTTCAAAGAAAGAAAGGGGCAAAGGATAGGCTTCTTAAGACTTCGAGGATACATTGAATACCATTTTCACAACTCGCCGCCACAGCTCACAACGAAGCAGGCGGAAGTGGAATGAGAAGTGACACCGAAAGGGGGGATTACGCCTTGCAGACTCTTGAGAAAGAGCGAGCAAGCCCTCCTTTGATACGTGGCAGCAGGCTCTCTCGCTGAAACGGAAGGAGCGGGGGTGCTGCAGGGAGAAGTTCAAGGAGGAGGTTCAAGAAGCTTGCAGAAGAAGTCAGGCTAGCCTGGCCGGTGCTCCCATCGCCCTCCGCCCATCGCCAGCTGCCGGCTTCCGCTGATCGTCCCCTCACCTTAACCAAGGATCACCCACCTTTTTCACTCTCCGGGCCGTGAAAAGCCCCATCCCGTCTTGAATATTAGATGACTTCAGGGCAAACCTGTCCGGCACGTACATGCCCAGCATTCTGCACTCACGGGGCGGGGGCGGGAGGGCAGCCTCCCCGGGCACTTCGCTCAAGAGGCATGTTTCATGGCAGCGAGGCGGGCGCGGGGCGCGGGGGCGGGAGGGCCAAGGCGGGGAGCGCCGGCCGCGAGACTCTCCCCGCGCCCCCCGGGCGTCCCCGCGCTGGGAAGGGAGGGTGGAGCTTCCCCTCGCCAGATTTCCTCCAGCCGCGGCTGGGCAGGGGCTTCTGCGCCGCTCGAGAAGGCGCGCTCCCATTGGCGGAAAGTTTTGCGAGGGTGAGCGCGGCGGAGAGCGAGCGAGCGAGCGAGCGAGCGAAGGTTTCATCCGGGGGAAAAGGAGGCTTTCTGGTGCGAGGCAGCGAAGGATCCCGGGATTGCGTAGCGCAGAGCCCGCTGGCAGGCTGGCGCGGCGGAGGGCTTTTTCCACTGCGGAGGCCGCACCAGTCCGACAGGGCAGGGGCGAATGGTGGGACGCCCATTTGCAGCGCAGCTCGTATTGGAACTTCAGAAGAGCCCTGCTGGATTGCGCGAACGGCCGTGTAGCCTGGAGCCATGGAATAGTGGAGTTGGAAGGGGCCATAAGGCCATCGGGTCCAACCCCCTGGGATGATTTACACCATCCCACTTAGATGGCTGTCATTGCTTTTTGAAGGTCTCTAGTGTGGGAGCGCCCACCACCTCTCTAGGCAGCTGGTTCCACTGTCGTATCGCTCTGACAGTGAGGAAGCTTTTTCTGATGTCCAGCCTGAATCTGGGTTGTTTCAGAATTGATTATTCTGGCTCTTACATTCCGGTATCAGCAAGAAGAGATCTTGACCTTCCTCTTTGTGGCAGCCTTTGAAGTACTTCTATAGTGATGCCATGTCCCCCCTCAAGTCTTCTCTTCTCAAGTCCAGCATTCTGTCCACGCAGTGGCTGAACAGCTGCCCAGAGAATCCCTTAAGCAGGACATAAGTGCTACAGGCCCCTCTTGCTCAAGTTCTGCAGCAACTGGTGTTCGGAAACCCCCTGTCTCTTGTACTGGATGTCTCCCTATCCGCCTTTTCACACCATGCATATTTTTGCAGCAGAGTGCTTAGGATCTTGATTTCTTCTGCACTAGAAAGAGCATGCTGTCGTGGCTAACGCATCAGACAAGGTCTGGGCTGACTTTGGTTCACATCCTCTTTCTTCTAAAGCTCAGAGTGATGTTAAACAACTCACTGTTTCTCAACCTAACCTACCTCATGAGCAGAGTTACTATGATGATTTAACAGGTCTGTGCAAAAACAGTGTAAGCTGCCCTGAAGCCCTTGCAGAAGGGGCAGGATAAAAAGGACTGGAAATAACCCTATGCATAGTTGCAAGTAGTAAGTCTCACAGGCCCAAATTTTCATAGAATTGTATTCATGCCATTCTGTCGGCATGCTTGGGCACCTGTCAGGGATCCATGCCCAGCAGGAGCCCACTGGCAAGAATCCTTTGGACTTGTTCCTCTTCTTTATCATTGCAACCAGGTTGCTCATGTGTTCTTGCTCTGGACCAATCAACAGTGAAGGTGAGAAAGGGGGGCTGCAGTTGCTATAGAAACAAAGCGAGTCAGAAGGGGCTATTTCCTACCATCAACCTTTCAAGCAAGCAAGTGGAAGCAACGGTGAAAAAGATAATGAGGTGCAGTAGCAACTGGGGACAGTGGTGGTAGTGGAAAGGTAGGCACACTGAGGGAAGGTGGTCATGGAGGGCATCTTGCCCAGCCCCCCCCACCTGTCTTGCAATAAATGCTTTCATAGTGCTACTAGAGATTTTATCCCACTGCAAGTCTTGCACCATGAGGTTTCATAGGCAACAGCAGCTGTGTTTGGTGTATCCACATACACAGCAGGCGAAGATACAATTGTGGTGGTAGACACAATTTGATAAGGAAAAGGGTTTGTGTGCCCCCCCCCCGCTAACTCCATATTTGAGTGTCCATATTTATAAGTAATCCCAGCACTCTGTGTATTGGTTACTTTTCTATTCCACCCCTTGTAGTATGATCTCTCACCCTTTTTTCTCTGTGTTGGTGGTACAGCAGACAGAGTCATTGATTGAAGGAACTGCTACCTCATCTTCTCATTTCCTCATCTGAATTCTCCCAGGAATGTGGATATTTCCCAATGAACTTAATCCTCCCTATTGTGTTGCCCAGGGAGAACAGAACAAGCAGGAACAATCACCCTTTCACAGCAAGGATTGGGCACACACTGGTGGCTACTGGCCACTCATCTGGCTTCTAACCCTGCAAAACTCATCCCCCTCTTTGGTCAGCACAGCAGGAAGGACTGGGCCCATTTCTCCCAAAGGAAGGGAAGGAGGTGGCTTCTGTTTTTCTGGCCAACCTTCCATGCTCACAAGCCCAGCAAAAGAAGGTGAACAAGCAGGCAGGGGTAGATGCTTAGGCAGGTGCCCAGGTGAACAGTAGAGAAGCATCTGGGCAGAGTGAGGCAGCTGCCTCAGCTGGCAGAGTCTGGGGAGCAGAAGGGAGAGGGGCTGAGCAGTGCATGTCAGCTAATCAAGCCTGCTGCCCTCCAGAACCATGGAAGTTTCTTGCCCATTGCCAGTGTCCAAGATTCAACTGTCAACCCGCTCTGCTTCTGTACATTGAATAAGAGAGGCTGTGGTTCACGTTTCAAAAGGTCTTGGCCCTGAAAGAGGATATAGAACTAGCAGCTCTTCCTTGCCCACCCCAAGTGGCAAAACTGAAGGCACCACAATGGGAGAAATTCCAGGGGCTTCCTAGCTAAGAAGTTATTGTTGGAGTTATTTTGGTAAGCTGCCCTGGGAATGCTGATGCCCTGGCCACTGAAGGACAGGATATACACTTTAGAAACAGTAGTAGTAATAAAGTTGCTTGTTATTCTTTGGTTACTAAAGTCCTGAGTTTTGAGGCTCTGTTTTCCAGAAGGCATGTCTATAATACTGCACTTCAATGGATACAGAAAACATTGGAGAAGAAGCACCACAGAAAACTTTCTTGCCAAATACTTCTCTATGCAGTGAAACTAAATACATCATTAAAGACAAAGTGCACCCAGGTGAAACATTACACTTTGAATAATATTATACCTAGTCCCAGTTTGAACACCAAACTGTAAATCATTTTATGTTATTTGCTATTCTTGTATATTATACACTAGCAGTTTTCTGAATGACAGGGGGACCTGAAAGTGAACTCACTCTATTAAACAGATTAATTTAAGATGGGAATTCAATCCAGAGTGCATGTATTATTGCTTCAATCTATACACAGTTTATCAAAAAGCAAATTGGAGCTGGCCAAAGATTGTTCTTCTCCCAGTGGAGAGAAGTATTTGTTTAAATCTGATTATAAAGCTGAAAGAAAAACAATGCATTTGGGGAAAGCAAGAGAGAAAGGAGGGGCAGAGAACAATGGGGTAGTGGTAGGAAAGAGACACTGACAAACCTGCATTCTATATTTAAAGTTGTGTGCTTCAATTTGCTCTGGATTACTGGATTTTGTTTTTGTTTTTTGTTTTAGTTTATGTTTTGTTTCCAATGCCTTCCTTGACATGGCTACACTTTCAAGTAAACCAAAGGGTATAATTAGCTGATGCTTCTTGCTGCAGCCAAAGATGGTAACTGGGAATCTGAAGATCCTTGCAACTCTTTCCCAAGTCAAAGGTAAGAAAATGTATTTGCCACTTGGCCTTAAAATGCAGCTCTTTCCTGGTTGAACATAATGCACAGGAGATTTTTGGCCTGGAGGGATATAGGTAGTAAGCAATCCAGGTAGCAAGCAGTGCTGGATGCGTGCCTCATCTGCAAGCTCATATTTTATACGCCAAACTGGGAGTTACCCAGTTAGAGAGCTAGTGTGGTATACTGGCTAGAGTATTAAAATGGGCTAAGTAAGCCACCTTGAGTTTCTCATAAGAGGAAAAAGAATATATATCGTTTTCCTCTTATGAAATACACACACATACACACACACACAAAATTCATATCCACCCTCTTTTTCCTCTTGTGAAATAGCCCTCCTCCACTCCATTTTATCCTCAGCACAATAACTGTGAAGTAGGTTAGTCTGAGAGTCTGTGACCAGCCCAGATTCACCCAATGAGCTTCATGGCTGAGTAGGGCCTAGATCTCCCAGATCCCAGTCCAACATTCTAACCGCTTTACCTCACTGGCTCTTACTGTGTTCTTCTAAAGGAAATATCTTCACTTTATATGACTCAAGTATGAATATATCCTGCTTATATCCTGATCTGGGAGATTGGATGCATTTTTGCTTGGCTTTCTGACATGCATATTTTTATGCATCCAAAAACTTTCAACTGGATAATGTTTATTTAAAAGTTGAAAATGTCTTTAATGTGGAAAGCATAGGAAACAATGTGTTTATCTCCTGGAATTGAAAGGATCATTGTAAGATTGTAACACCAAAAAGAACATTTTGGAGCTCCCCAAATCATCTCTGTAGAGACTTATAGAACAAGGATTAACTTAGTATTAACTTATAATTATGTGAGGTACATGTTTCTTCCAATAGATCTAGACTTTTTATGGCCATCTCTATGATGGCCTTTAAATGAATACTTTCAATTTTCTTCTGATTTGGTGTGCAAAAGGTATGCAGCTCACCAGGCAATTTCTTCTGCGATCTGCATCTTCTGCAAAACCATACATACATACATACATACATACATACATACATACATATAAATGGCAGCACAGCCTCACACTAGAACTGTCCAAGAAGTATTTCCTTATATCCACACTCCCATCAGAAATCAGAAAAAAGGAAGGAATTCCCTTGCTAGGACCTGAGGAAGGCTGGGTGGTGGTGGTGGTTTTGTTCTTGTTTGTTTTTGTGCTACGTCTTTTGAATTTAGCAGTTTGATCTTTATCTATTACGGCATGTATGTGACCTCTGAGAAAGAGGGAAAGGGGCATTCAGGTGGGTAAGGAGGTGAAACAGGCTGCAACCTATCAAGCAAAAACTGGCAACGATGAAGGATAAGGA